TCCTCAAGATTGGCTGTGGTGTGAAACTTGGTGTGATGATGAATCCAAACAAAGAGCCAAAACAATTGATCTGGTGAGTATCTGTGATTGCATTTGTTATAAGCACAAAGGAAATAGATACATAGAATTATACCCTCTGGATTTGTTTGGTTTTTTTTTTTTTTTGAGAGACGCATACGTAGAGGTTGAAGACAGAAAAAAGGTTGTGTGAAGAATGAATCCTCAGCCCTACAGATCCGCCCCTTGTGGGGGATGGTTATGTGGCCGCCGCCTCTAATGTGAGAGAAGCCAAGGTCATTGCTGGATGGGCAGCTATTTCTGCATAGATTTCAGTTTTTAACATAACCAGCTTTTCTCTCTCTTTCTCTCTCTCTCTCTCTCACACACACACTCACTCTTGGGAGAAATGGAAATGCAGAAAAATCTTTTTAAAATAACCTGTTATGGAAGTGAAAGGCGTAATGGCATAACAAATGTCATGATGCAATTTCAACTCTCCATTTCAATGATGGTTTCTCAACTTGAGCAGTATTGGCATCTGGGCGAGATAGCTGTTGCAGGGGCTGTCCTGTACAGCGTCATCCCCTCCCCCACCCTACACTTTGAAGGGCGTGATTGCCTGGTTAAGATCCATTTGGAGGAACAGGCTTTTGATATGGGAGTTAAGATGCCACTTGCAATGGCTGCATCCAGCATCGGGATGCCCGGATTTGAGTTCTGGCTATGTCTCATTGCAGCTCCCACACATGCATGCCCTGCGATGCATCAGGTAATGGCTCAAGAGCTGAAGCACCTGCCCCTGCCCCGCTTGGGAGTTCCGAGATCCTAGCCTAGCCAATCTGGGCAGTGAATGAGAATATGAATTATTTCTCTTCCTCCTTCCAAATAAATGAAAATAATTTTCAAAAAATTAGAATCATTGGTGTGGCATCAAAAACATTGTAGCATAATAAAATAAAGGCAACATAGTATTTTTAATAGCTCTGCCATGAATTCTTTTAATACGACTTGTTTACATAATTGAGTCACAAGAGTTACGAGAGAGACTTTCCATTTACTAGCTCACTCTCCAAGTGGTTGCTAAGGCTAAGGCAGGAGCTTCATTCAAATGTCACACTTGGGCCATCTTCCACTGCTTTCCCAGGCCACGAGCAGGGAGCTGGATCAGAGGTGGAACTGGAAAACAAACCAGAACCTACACAGAATGCCAGCATCAAAGGTGGCTGCTTTACCCATCACATCATGTCGGACCCTCTGCCACAATCAGAAACTAGTTGCATCATTCAGTTGGACATTGCCTCGGCCCGGCATGACGACTCAGCGGCGAAATCTGCCTTGCACATGCTGGATTCCCATGTGGGAGCTGGGTCATGTCCCAGCTGTGCCACTTCCCATCCAGTTCCCTGCTTGTGGCATGGAAAGGATGGCCCAGAGCCTTGGTACTTTGCACTTGAGTGGGAGACCCGGAAGAGGCTCCGGGGTCCTGATCAGCACAGCTCTGGCCGTTGCAGTCACTTGGGAAGTGAGCCAATGGATCTTTCTCTGTCTCTCCTTTTCTCTGTAAATCTGATTTTTCAATGAAAGGTTTTTTAAAAAATTACCTGTAAAGTTGGCTTCTGCAAATAAGATCCTGTTTTCCATCCGGTTAAGGAAAATAGTACTGAGAAAGGAAATCCACCATGAACTGCAAGCATGTGGCAGGGAAAGGGTTAAGACAGCCGCCTGGTTCATAATGAATAGTTTGAATGAAAACTGAACATGGCCATGTCCGCACGTTTGACATGGCCAGGCCTTCTGCCGGTAAACGTGCAGTCGGCACTGTGAGGACTGGGACTGGACTTGGCTGCCTTCCCACAATGCCTGAGAAGCAGACCCGCCTGCCAGTTCAGTCAGGGTGGTAATGTAAGTGGAGCTGTTTGAGCATGGCACTGCACTAGTCAACATTTTGTGACTCATCAGAGTGCCTTTAAAGTTTGTGTAAATTTGTTTATAGTATTAAGCAGTTACTACTAAATCATTTGAGATTTTGTCATTTTACATTGACCTGTCTGTTAAGCTATAGTACTTAGTTTTGCTTTTTATAACATTGTGCTTTATTTGCTCTGGCAACAGGAATGTCCTGAAATAACTTGCTATGCTTCTTATAACATGGTTTTTCATTAACAAGACATATTTAAACTTTCAGTGCAATAATCCCAAAACAAAGGAACCCAAACTAAAAGCTGCAGCCAGGATTATCCCAGAATGGGTGGAATATGATAATGAGATACGGCAACTGTTAGATCAGCTTGAAAAGAAGAAGGAAAATGCAAGTAAGTCATGATGTAATGGTCACTGAGGCCTAGCGACCTCGACTGTATGTTCGAAAATGACAAGTTAGGTGGATCAGCAGGCAGCTGGCGAAGGGTTTCCTCGGAGATGAAAACAGACGACCTTCTCCAGCAACCTAGGCAGGCTTCCCTTCAGGTGGGTGTCTGGACAAGGAACAGATGAAGGCCCACGTCACACACCACCACCCGAGTCCAAATGAGGGTGTTTTACTCAAGATCATTGAGACCTTTCCCAGCATTCCCCCACTCTCCATTTTCTCTCAGGATTAGGCTTCTCCGCCATTTGGAACAGATAAACTGTCGGGTCTCTGGGACGCACCAGAGTGGGCGGCCAGCTGTGCGATCTTCAGACACCCTTTAATTGGGGGGCTTTCTCCGGTCCTCCAAGCGAGTAAGCACTTGGCCTCAGCCATGTAGTTGAGTGTGAGGTGGTTTGTCAGCGTGCCCCCTTTTTGTTTCTGGAAATGTACTCCTAGCTGGGTGTCAGTCTCAGAAGCACTCCCCTCAGCTCTACCGTGACGCTCTTTCATCCTACACGGTCTTTGTAATGGAGTGTTGTGAAGAGTGGAGCATTTTGTCATGTTTGAAATGTATGGATGAATTTGAGCTCTAAATTCATTTGACTAAAATATTTTCAGTTCACAGTGCTTTTAAGTCCGTCTCAGAGCTCAGTAATGCAGGAGTGCTCCAGGAGTGGTCATCAGCATTGACCTCAGAGCTGGCTCGTGTCTGCAGCGGAGGGCTCTATCCCCCGTCACAAACAGGCACTACCGCGTGCAGGAGGAATGACCCTCTGTTAGTGTGCTTCAAGGCCGCCTCCTGCCAGGCAGGACACCAGGTCTTACACTAACACGGAAGCTCCTGTGGTCCTGGACTCATGGCACTGCAGAGCTGGGTAGGAAAAGGAGCTAGTTACGGTGCTCTATACAAGATGAATCCGATGGCACCAGACCATCAAAGGCTCCTCAGGCCACACTTTGATTTTTATTTAACTCCCTTGGTGACATTTAAGATTTCAAGAACTAAATAAACTTTCCCTTCTTACAGTTTTGGGTCATGATGAACTCTAGCAGTGGTTTTGTAAGACGATGAAAATATGACAAGACAGCTGCTACCTGCTGGAGAACGGTGGAACTACTGCTCAGACTCTGCAAGTTTAATTATTTAAAACACATGTACTTAAGTTTAAATAAAAATGACGAGTATTTAAATCTATTCCTTTTTTGTGATTGTTTTAAACAATGCATTTTCATCAATTAAAATGACATTTTGACAGATAATTGGTAGAAAATATCTAACTGGTTCTTTCCCATGTTTACCAAACCAGCCACATCCTTTTCCACTCCAGCTTTACATACACCCATATTTTCTTACATCTAAAATCAGACTCTTCTGAGAAAGATGTTTGCTTTTGAATAAGATGTCCATTTATATCTTAAATGCTTTAAGATGGAAGTCATACTGTAATTTCTTAATCATGTCTTAACTATTTAACGTATTCAATGTTCATGCAATTATATTCATTGGCATATTCTATTTAAAAACCAAATACTTCGGTAGGAAGTTAAGACTGTCCAAACATTCTGGAATCATACAGATAGGGGTTAGAAGCGATTCCAGTGTCACTTGGAACCTCGTCCCCAGAAGTCTGTGTTGCTAGGTTTGAGAAACCTTAGCATTTAGCTTCCTCTCGCAAGGCTTTCTTATATAGTTCCTCAGGCAATCTTGTAAACCTGCAGGGCAACAAGGAGATCCTACTTCTTTAAACATAGCTGGGTCCAGCTTTGGACAGCTGTGTGGAGCTGCGAGCCGAAAGCTGTCCACCAGCTGTCTCTGCTCTTACTCCTGTCAGCTTAATGACTGGGCTGGTCCTGAGGTAACAAACCAGAGTGCTGGAGGAGACCTTTCTCCGGCAGCACCTTTCACTGCTAAGACACCCCCCCCTTACTTGTCCCGGTGTGAATCGCATGCTGTGGGTAGGCCCTGCTCTAGTGGAATGAAGTCATTGCTGTGCATTCAAAGGTGCTCTTGAAAGCAGCAGCCGAGGCTAGCCCAAGGTACCAACTCCATGGTGCCTTCCAGCTCCCTGTTCCTCGGAGTTGGGCATGGAGCTAGGGCGCAGCGAGAGCCCAGGACTGTCTGAAATTCCAGCTGCAGCTACGAAGAGGTCTGTTCGGGTGGTACTCAGGTAGGCAGGGCAGAATCCTTGTGTCAGATGTTACTTTGTTTTCAATTCTGTAAGAACCTTGTCAGAGGAGGATCTGGACACACACCTGATCCTCAGCTTCATTACTGAGCCGCCTTCCCCGGAAGCCTGGGTCCCCTTGCGTGAGAGGAGACAATCTCAATGATCCCCCTCCTGGCTGACTGATCTAAGTTATTTACAATGTCTCATCTTCAGCTGGCCTCGGCCTTGAGAGGGCTGTGGAATTTTAGCCACTCCTGTTTTGTCTTCTGATCGTCCCTGTCAAACAGTAAAGTTATAGAAATGTTTACTTAGTGCAGAGAGTTTATGGAAAGTGTACTTCCTGAAGAGTGAATTTCAAAATTTGCTCCAAAACCTTCCAAGACCTTTTGTAAAGATAGAATTAAAGTCCCTCAGACTTCGATGGTAGATTTATTTCTTATTCTCAATGACTAAACATGAATTGACAAAGTACTGATATGGCCATAAATATTTTTATTACATGTGAAAATACACAGGAATAAAAATAGTACCCTTTGTAGACATGTCTGTTCCCTTTTTCAAATAATTCTTTTATTAAAATAGTAAATTGTGATTAAATTCCTTGGTCTTATTCAAAACAAACTATAGAGCAGTAATTTCACTTCTCAAACTTTCCAGCTGCCATCTCTTCCAAGCTCTGCTTTCCACTTCAGGTCAGTGTTTCAACCACATGAGACAATCCTATTGCTACACAGAAAGCCACGTGGTGGCTAGTTTTACTTCTTGAATCATTCAGTAAATGAGATCTGTTAAAGAAAAATTTATCCTTACCTAGCCTCATTTGAAAGTACAGAATGAACTCTGCCACTAACAGAGGAATGACAAATTAGCCTCTGCCTGCCTCCTTGCATTAGAAAAATGGAAACCTAGTTGTGTGTTTCCCAGGTTAGCCCAGTGATGTCCACTCACGTGAACAAGGCCCAGGGCCCGGCGGCAGCGAGGCAGCAGCCAGCGAGGGGCCCCCTGTATAAATATCAAATATAAACCAAACCAACTTCCTGCCTTGAACGGTATAATTCTTATACACCATGAGTGGAAAATGATGCCCACTATACTTGTAATTCTATTGATTTTTTCCATAAAAAGGCTATGGGTAATTTAAGATTTCATCAGAGCTCCAAAAATGTCTGCTTTTTAATAGTTAACAATTGTACCACTGAAGGCATGTTTAATGTTGTAATCCAAATCACATCAGTGAACTAAAATTTTCAAATTTTCTATTCATGACAAAAATGCATTTAGTTTCCTGATTTAAGAACTTCATATGTTTATAGGCTGATGTGTTTACTCGCTACTGTAGAAAATATCCACAACTTACAGACCAACCATTCTGCATGAAAGAAGTCACCAGAAAGGAATATAATGGAAAAAAAGGTCTAGAATATTCTCATATTTCCCAGATGAGACATTAAAGTTACCTGGCACCTTCAGTCCCCAGAGTGGAAGCAGTCCAACAATGGAATTCTTTTCCAGTGACATGCTGTACACCGCAGCATCTCCTGGGGTCAGGCAGACAAGTGGAATGACAGCTCAAGCCCTTACACACCCAGGACCTTCCCAGCGGTTGTTTAAGGAAAGCATGCACTGACCAGCTCTGCCTTCAGGTAGATACCAGCAAGTGATCGATGGCTGCGTGCTGAGACTTAGTTAGCAACTGGCATTTGGCACCATAATTCTCTCCACCTTTTGGTTGACTAAGTTCCTGTAAGACTTGAGAGGCAATGATAAAGAGGGGAAGAAACGGAGCAACCCTCGGGGAGCAGCCAGGGCGAGGCCCCAGCTCTGACCTGCCCACCTGCTTGTTCCCAGGGGCTTCTTGCTGGTGGGCAGCTTCCTCCGAGACGGAGGGTCGGACAGGACCTCGCCACTGCTCTGCCTCATTGAAGCTTGCAGAGTACTTCAGAGGTCACAATGACATATGCAAAGGGAACCCAACAGAAAAAAATAACTTTAATTATTTCTTAGTTGTATAAAGGACACACAAAATGAATTTACCTTAGAAATTGCCACAATGATTTGAACATTGACACTAAAACAAAATGAAGCCTGCAAAATGCAGTGTTAAATTTGTTGGTACAAAATAGAACCCTAAATGAATGTGAAAAACACTGAAATATTTGCTTAATTTAACTATGTGACTTTTATCCTCCAAATTAAAAATTTTCCACACTTATTTCAGGGTGTGACTGTAGCAGAAAAGATTTTGTGCTTTGCTGTTGTAAACATTCATGATCAAGGAGTCTCCCACAATGAATTAAAATGCTTGATTTCATAAAAACAATATATTAGGCCTTTTAATGCTTATAATGTTTCAGAATGACTTGAGGCAAAAACAAACCTTCCCAGAAAAAAGGTTATACTTCTTAAAGTAATTCTTAGATTTTAAATGCAGCATCAGTAGTTCCATAAATATTAAGTTCTGGATCAACATAACACTCATTTTAGGGCAAAAATTATCCCGTATACAAAAACTAACTATAGTTCATTTCTTAGTTACCTTGTTAAAAGGTAAGGAAGTATCTCAAGGAGATGCTGTCCAGTTCAATGAAGCAACAGTGAAAATACAGCAGGGACACACTATTTTTAAGCTCGTATTTTCTTCTAGGTGGCACATGTAGAGGCAGCAGGATCCGGTGGGACGCGAGGCCTGTCCCGTCCAGGAGTTGCTGCAGCTCGGGGTCAGCCTGGGTGCAGGAGAGGAGCTGCTGCTCCCTCTGTTTTATTAATAGTGTGAAACATGACATTCTGTGTTTGTTGTCTGAGCGAGTTTACATTCCTAAACCAGTCTTGTAACAGGGATCTGTATAACGACTCAGAACTTCAGTTGCTTAAAACTAATTCAATTTTTGTTTCAACAATATTACTTCAGTATTATCAGCTTGTTTGGCATATTTTCCTCGATATCAATATTAAGCTAGAGCCCACAAGTTTTTTTTTTAAACAATTAAGTAATTTTCAGCATTCTGTAGACACTACACCAACATAAGTAGATATGCTTAAAATCAAGTCTACACCTGGATAACCCAGCTGCCACCTACTGGACCCACGTGTGGTCAGAGGCACGTGCAAATGACTGCATGTGCCAAAAGCCAAGCACAGGCGTCCCTAACAACAGACAGCTCAGCAGGTTCACCTTCGCTTCAGGAACATTGCACCTCCACGCATTCTCAGGAAGGTCACAGGTGAAGGCACCGATGGGCTGTGCAAGGCTCTGCAAAGAAGAAATGGCACACTCCAAGGAAGAATGCCAGCTGTGCCAGCAGTTCCCTGGGGGAGCGGCTTCAGACCAACCAGCGCTTCCCGACCCTCACGCCGTGTACACAGACTGCTGTCACAGACAGAACCACTCCTTGCCTCCCTGCCTTGGCAACCCCATTGACCAGTCTGAATGGGTAAGAACGGATTTTTCATTAAAACAATTCTTTGGTCATGGACAAACTGAAATATGTGAAATTGTTTCATTAGGATCCCAGAACAAGGTTTCTGTGTTTTTAATCTTTAAAAATATTAAGAAGAGCAGAAAAACAGTTTAATTGAAGTGGAATTTGAATCTGAATGGTCCACCCGAGCTGAAGGGATTGAACCCTTGCCATGAGTTCCAGCTTCTGTGGAAAGGGTTGCCGCCACCTCCTTGTTGGCTCTCGGCATCCAGGGGGTCTTCTCCATCATCAAACTTCTTTCTCATTTCTAGACAAAAACCAGCAAATGAAGAGACAGTTATTAACAGTGGTACTGGGAGAAAGGGGATACGGAAACAGTACACTTAGGTTTGGGGAACCACTTCTCAAAGTGGCTTAACCTCCATTTTTGAGACCAGATTTGCCTCTTTCAACTTGAGTTCAATCTGAGACCTCAAGAGTTTTTATACCAGAATCTTTAGTCTCTCAGAACAGACATTAGGATGCAGAATCTACTTTTTCTTCCCCAAGGCAGAGCCCTGCGGTGCCAGCCCCAGCCAGCTCCCTTAGCTTATTACAGTCCCCTCCCAAAAGAGGGCTCTTAGGATGCAGTCTCATAGAGCTCTGCCCTTAGACAGCCTGGCACAGGTGCACACAGTGTTCACAGCTGAGTAACAGAACAGACGGCATGCATCCTACCGTGTCTAGTAAACACATTTCTATCGCCCTTACTATAGATCACTTCCATAAAAAGGAAGTAACTTCAAACAAGCTTTCCCAAAGATAAGTAACATGATTTCCTCTTTTTGTTGAATCTAAGAGTCATGGTTCCACTGATATGGAGTATCAGCTTAACACTGATTTTTTTTTTTCCTGGAAACAGTACAGCGTTCATTGTCCATTACTACTCAGTTCTCACCCCATCTGTACCTGAGCTAGGCCCTACTAACATGGAAAATGAACACAGAGCAGGCAGTGAACATGCCCACCGTTCACCACCATGCTGGCCCTGCAGGCTGCTGCAGTGGGGCTCCTATCACATGGGAACCCAGGATCGTATCCCTTGCCGTGGCCTCAGCTCAGCCTTAGCAATTTCAAGAATTGATGGAATATAAATGGCAGCTCATTTATATACACTGTCTCAAAACAAAACATATCTACCAATGCTGGTCCTGTGATTCAAGGCAAGATTGCTGGAGAACACTCACAAGGCCTCTTCTCCCTAGCTCTCTCCTCTACTCCCTGCATGATCCAGCAAGCATACTGGTTTCCCCTTTAAGCCCATATAAGAAAATCAGAAGAAATCATCACTGCCCTTTAAAGTTAGCAGGAAAATAGAGATAATGAATAGCTCAAGTTCAATGTGTGCTCTCATGTCACAAGTGAAAAAACCTTGGAAGCCAGAGAAGTTCCACTAGCTTGTTGAAGGAGAAAGGAGAGTCAAACTGTAGAGAAACAGAATAAAAACAGAGCTTCCTGTGTCCACCCTGACACAAAAACAGAGGGCTCATACACACAGCTACGCCACAGAGTGTGACATGGAAAGTCCTTGTGTAAGAACATCTGCCCGGCAAACATCCATTCAACCCTAGCCTGCTCCTAGGCTGCTTGCTGCTTCCTTAGCACTTTGGCCAGTCCTTCTCATCACTGTCCTTAGGACCTTCCCCTTGAGTAGGCACTGGGGTGCTGCGGTCACAATGCTGCTTGGGATACTCACATCTCAGTGCATGGGGTCAAGTCCCACCTCTGCTTCAACTTTCTTGCTAATGCATCTGGGAGGCAGCAGAACCTGGGTTTCTGTCACCATGTGGGAAAACTAGATGGAGCTGCTGGCTCTTGGCTTTGGCCTGGCCCAGTCTTAGCTGTTGGGAACATTTGGGGAGAGGAATAGTAGCTTCAGGATCTCCTCTCCCCCTCCAATCACTCTATCAAGTATATCAACTTGGAATAAGGGTATTTCCCTTGCCTCAACCTCCAGATCCACATTCTATCTCAACTGCAGGGCTCTGATATTCCAGTAGAAACACCATTATCTTTAGTAGGTCTCTCTGTGGTTATGGTTTATTAATAAGCTTACTAAACCCAAGGCTTCATTCCTCATCAACAGTCTTTCCACCACACTGTATGACAGTCCCCAGAATTGGGGACAGGGAAAGACACGTCCCACCGCACTTCACCCTCCACATCTAACGTTTCCAAGATGGGCCAAGGATTACTAACACCACTGACTCCACCGTTTCAGAGAACAGAAGGTCTTAAAGGCAAGGCATACCTGGGTCAGAAAGGACTTCCTTAGCAGCTGCTATGTCAATGAACTTTTTCTCAGCTTTTTTCTTTTCTTCTTCATTCTGGAAGTTATCTGGGTGCCACTGAAGTGCTAATTTTCTGTATGCCTTAATGATTTCTTGTTTTTTGGCATTTCTGTAGGATGGTAAAATTAACTGATAATCATTTAACATATGTCCAATGCACTATCGTAAGAATCAGAAGAGATAGTTAAGGATAGCATGGCATTAGAAACCTGTTTTCCCTTGGAGTTCCAATGGCATTCTAGGCCACAGAGTCACAGGAAGTTCTCGATAATCCAATATGCGTTCATGAAGAACAGAATCTTATTAAAAATCAAACTACTACTGATCCTTATAAAATTCCCTGAAAATTTTGCATGAATCTTTCATTTTTTTCAGAATATTCAAAATAGCATGATTCAGTTCTTTCTTGGCATTTAAATAAAAAAACCCAGATAATTTTGTCAGAGAAGGTAAATCTTACATTAAAAATACATAGTCAACAGATCATCTACCTTCTAGTACCTGCATATTACTTCTAGAAGCACTGCTTTATTTTTAGGCCTAGACCATGTTTTTTCCTTTTCTGCATCTGCATCTTGGCCCCCTCCTCTTGTCCTGCCCACCAGAGTTCTCTCCCACCTCTTTACTCATCTAAAAGACTGTAGGCCTGGGACTGACTCATGATAGCACTCATCGCCAGAGGCTTCTCTGCATTTCATTACTAGTCTCGACCAAAGGCATCTTCCTGTAAGATATTCACAATAGCTTTACGATGCCAAACATGGTTAGTAACAATAATACAAGTGGAGGAAATTAATTGGAGAGAAAGAGTAATGATTAGCTTTGCCAGTTAGGAATACTAATGCAAATTCTAAAAAATTCACCTTTTTACTCCCAAGATTTTATAATAATCTCGTTTCTGCGACTGCTTCAGTAGTCTTTGTGCTTTTTCTAAACCTTCCCGAATCTGCTGATCATTTTCATTGTGTTCCTGGGCTGTTTCATAATCTTGAATAGCTGTCAAAGTAAAGATAAGATAATGCTGTTATGGGGGAAATTGTCATTTGTTGCTTTTACTCGTCTTGCAAGGTAATACCAACCCTTCACTCCCCATTACTGTTAAGAGAAGTGATAGCACCTTTAATTTTCTTCAAAAACGTAAAGACATAAATCAGACTGGATTCAGGTAGTAATTATTCCTAGTCTACAGAACTCAGTGCGGCTCACGTATCCCACACTGTCCATGCCTTGGGGGTATTTTAATGTCAGCACTTTATATAAGACAGTCTTATTACCTCTAAGGCTGAAATGACTTTCTGTAGAAGACAGTGCCTGAGGAAGTCTGCATTGTCAGCTGTGGGTCAGCAGTTCCGGAGAAGGAGAGGTTAGAAAGGGAAGAATAACTTCCAGCAGTTTCAATGACAAAGTTAACCATGGGGTTCCAGCACCAGCAATCCCATGACTTTGTCCAGTGTCGGCCAGAACAGAAATAGCACCCGCTGTTGGCACAGATGTCAGAGGACAGTCCACGACATCATTCAGGTGGGAACACAGCACCAGGGACCCTCCCGGCATGCGGAGAGTCAGCTGTCTGCAGCAGGCCTTTTCGGAGCTCTCGGGTAAGGCTCTGCTGGTATCAGGGAGGCTGAGCTTCAGGAATGCGCCCACAATTCCCTGGTAAGAATTTCTCACTATGTCTGAATTGCTGGTACAAACCTTTAATTTATGCTAAGTCTTCCGGGAGGCATACACCTGTGTGCTCAGTCCCTGACAAGCTTCATTAATAGATACCAGTTTACACCTATTACAGCACTCCCCTGTGCCCTTTAAAGAAAACAACATGTCCTGTACGGCCTCATAGCGGAAGCATTTGGGGATCTTCTGGCTGGTTTCCTCCACAGAAGTGAAGGGGAAAGGAGAAAGAGCAAAAAGATGAGCCAGGTTTAAAAAAATATCAAGGACTTAACAAAACTGAAATGGAATATGAAGTTTAAAAGAACCAGGGGTGGAGGGTGGGGAATCAGAGGACAGCAAAGGAAACATTACATGTCTAACTTGTATGCAGAAAAGCAAACCAACAGAAGATGACAAACATCTCAGAATATATCTTAGACACAAAATCTGAATCTACATCTTGAAAAGGTGTACAAGAAAGATGCCAGGGCAATCCAGCTTAGAAAGGTCTTAAGCTATATTGTAGCATAATTAACAAGCTTGAAATGTAAAAACAGCCTGGTGCCAATCTTCTGTGGAAGGGCCAGAATGGTGGCACAGCAGACTGAATCAAGGCTTGCGATGCTGGCATCCTGTTGGTCCACTTTTAATCTAATTCCCTGTGCGTGCACCTAGGAAAACAGCCAAAGTTCATCCAAATCCTTGGGCTCCTGGCACCGACGTGGAAGACCCAGACGGAGGTCCAGGTTCCGGCTTTCAGTCTCACCCATTTCTGGCCATTGCAGGCATTTGGGGAGCGAGTCAGCTAAAGGAGGATCTCTTTCTCCCTCCCTCTTTCCCTTTCCTTTTGCTGTTCAAATAAGTTTTTTTATATATACTATTTTTTGGATACATTTTAGTTAGTGCTGGGGTCTCCCTTCCTCCTCCCTGAAGCTCCCTCCTCTCTCTTCTCCCCTCCAGTCTCACAGTAAGTGCCTTTCGTGACTTTCCCCAAGTCCATCATGCTGTCACTGGAGTGTCTCCCAACCATGCAGGAGACTGTCAGCCATTTCGTTTGCAGTTCATTTTTGTGTCCCAAGCCCTAATGAAGGTACAATGTGCACGAGATCTTCATTATCAAATAAGTCTTAAGAGATTTCCCTAGGCAATATTCAGTCTGAAGAGATTGGAACAGCCTACAAGATGTAAAGGGTAAGCATTTTTTTTTTTACCCTGATGTATCATCCTTTACGTTGAAAAGTTACCATTTTAAATATAGAAAAAAAAATCAGGGAAAACTTTCCTCAAGGAAACTAACAGAATGAACTCGTGCAGAGATGGCTGGAGAAGTGATCACCAGAGGAGGAATGGCACACACCACTGCTGTGTGGGGAATGCTGTGACTTGGCTCTCTCAAGAGCCCTGATCAAGAAAAACTGCTGCCTAACTGCACCAAATGCCAACTCAGAACTTTCTACATGAAAAACTCAGGGGTAAAAACCCTTTCTCCTCAGAATTTCTAATAAAACTTGCAAAGCTTTCTTTGGAGTCAGTATGATTTATTCCATTCTTCGAGAATGCACTTGCAGCAAAAATGGAAAAAAGAATCCAAGATCATATGAATCCAAGAACATATGATTAAGGATGAAGATGAGGAGGAAAGAGTCAGGGAGAAAAAAATGAAGAAAGGCAATATAATAGAGTGCAAGGCCATCTTCACAAAGAAAGTAGATTTCATTTACATAAGTTGTATATCAGCAAAAACCTCAGGTATCTTCAGTAAGGCAAAAGCACAGATTTCTTCTGGTAAAAATAAACAGCAACTCTAGTTTGGAGTCAAGGATTACCAAAAAATTCCTGCTCCAGAGAAGCATATTAAGAGCACAGCATGGATTCAAACAACTTGATTCTGTGTCTCTACAGTCACAGTGTTAGTCTCCGGCCCACTGCCTAGCCAACCATAACTGTGGCTGATCCTGTGTCTGTACTCAGTGTGTTAGTGTAGAGCATGGACCCACTGCCTAGCCAACCATAACTGTGGCTGATCCTGTGTCTACACTCAGTGTGTTAGTATACAACACGGACCCACTGCCTAGCCAACCATAACTGTAGTTCAAGCCATTCTCAAAGGTATATGAAGAAATTTGAGAAAGCCAGATTTAAAAATTGATTTTAGTGAAAAAAAATCTGAGGTATGTCTTTTTTTCTCTAACAGATGTTTTTGAAGATTCATGATTTCACTGTCCACATCCTTCCTGAATTAGCCTTGTGCCCTGTAGCCCCTTGGCCAAGAACCTAGGCCTGCAGCAGCCTCCCTCACTGCTTTCCTTCCTATTTCTTTACTGCCAGTACTTTAAGCTTCTCAGAATTTGGAAATCAGCTTTAAGAATGTGCTGTTTCTTCTACAACAGAACTATTGGGGCCGTTCCCTACTCCCTCACTTCTAGATCAGACCAGCAGACCAAGGACTGGGTCTGTTGGAGGGCTAATGTTCCCAACTGATATGCTAAATCTAAGTGGGATTACCTCAGATGGACTAAATCTGAGCTCACTGGTAAACCTGAGAGCTCCCACCTAGCAGGTAACTATGCAGTCTTCCTTGTAACTGTGCTTTTCAAAAGAAAAGAGGAACCTGCAGCTAGGAGCCTCGTGTGGTTAAGAGCTGATCATATTGCTTGACATAGGTAGTGTGAAAACGGAATGTGACAGCATCTGAAATAAATGCATTACAAGGCAAAAAAAAAAAAAAGAGCTGATCATATGAGTTTATAACCCCTCAGATATACAGCCAATGGAGTTCATCAACGCACCATCAACAGCCCTTTTTTCTAGTATAACTACTGGTGTTAACTCATTAGATGAAGACACATGTATTTTAGGCTTTGGAAGTTTCAGAAACATCTGCCTAATATATTCTGATTACATGTATATATCATTTTTGTTTGCTTTATAAAAATACTGTATAAGCAACCTCCAACTTAGAAAGCCACATGTGCTACGATTCCATATTTACTAGCATTTTCTAACATCATCTTCTCCCAATAAATAGGAGATAGGAGGCCCTGGGTCAACAACCTGGAAGGTAACAAGAAATCTGAACTGTTCCCAAGAGCTGGTCTCCTCCACGCTCAGGGATAAGCTCAGGACCTGACCTCAGGGCTGCCCAACGTGACTTCTGGCACAAGCACATCCCTGAAATTCTGCTACTCTGGAATTCCTTTGGGTTAAAAATGCTTATCTCACAAGGAACAGATACCTATTATGTTTTACACAACCATCTTAAATATGACTATTCTGGTTGTGCTACAGGAAATAAGCCTGCTAACACAAGAAGATGGCGTGTTTTGTGAAGTCTGAGGGATAGAGCAAAGTGGTGTTACCAGGTCAATCTCCCAGAATAAGAAAGAGGGCATGAGAATCTACACCACAAATCACCACAGAACATCAAAGATAAACTTGACCTCTTTCACAGTTTTGTCCTGGCCAGCCCTTCACTAACAAGGAGGCTACTTGGCTGCTGTTCTCAGAATTCTGAACATTAGTAATAACTCCAAGATAACAGTTCTAATAGAGTTAATGCAGCAGTCACAGCTTAGACCGGGAAGCTGGTTCCCCCACACACTGCTGTGTGTAGGAGAGTTAACACAAGCTCAAAGAACCATTCTGATTGTAAGTACACTGGGAACCAGTGATTTAGAAGCTTTCTGAAACACTAAGCAATTCCTAAGCATCATTTTATTAAACACAACAGTTCTATGGGATATGTATTATTTGTATTTCTATCTTACAGATAACAAAAATAAAGTGCAGCAGGCTAAGGAACTTGCCTGAAACCATAGCAAAATAAACAGCATATTCCTAAGAAAGAATAGAAATGGTCAACTAACATTAAAAAAAAGATTACCATTATTAATTAGGGAAATAAAACCTAAAGCCAGAATGAGTTATCACTTCACGCATTACAATGGGTTAAAAAAAAACCCTAAATACTGATGAACATGTAGAAAAGTTCAAACCCTAGAACACTGTTAGGATTGTAAAATGGTGCAACCACTATGGAAAACAGAGGGAGTTCCTCAAAAGATTAAAACAGAAATACCGTACATTCAACACCACCACTTGGGGAGATTCTCTAATTGAAAGCAGGATCTCAAAGTGGTATCTGCGCGACCAGGCTCACAGCAGCAGGATTTTCAGCAGCCAGGAGATAGAAAAACCCAAAAGTCCATCAACACGAAAAACAAATTTGATCTACCCATACAATAGCCTGTCTCTCTTAAGAAGGGAGAATATTCTACACCTGATATACATGGATCTTAAAAACACTATACCATTTGAAATAAGCCAATCAAAATACCCTATTGGGCCCGGCGGCGTGGCCTAGCGGCTAGAGTCCTTGCCTTGAACACCCGGGATCCCATATGGACGCCAGTTCTAATCCCGGCAGCTCCACTTCCCATCCAGCTCCCTGCTTGTAGCCTGGGAAAGCAGTTGAGGACAGCCCAAAGCCTTGGGACCCTGCACCTGCATGGGAGACCTGGAAGAAGTTCCTGGATCCTAGCTTCAGATCGGCATAGCATCAGCCATTGTGCTCCCTTGGGGAGTGAATCATCAGACGGAAGATCTTCTGTCTCTGTCTCTCTTCCTCTCTGTATATCTGACTTTCCAATAAAAATAAAATAAATCTTTCTTAAAAATACCCTAATCATTACAGTGGTATGAGATCACAAATATTGCAAGATTACAACTGCATAAAGAACCTAAAGCACTCAAATTCAGAGGCAGAAGCATCCTTTGTTCCTAGATAATTCTAACCTAAGTCCCAAATATATCTCTATGTTTCATTATTCACTAGTCAAAACCTAACGATTCTTTATTCTTTGTATCATCATTTAAAACTTTAAAATAAAAAAGTTGAAGTGGTTGTTTAACCTTGTGGGGAAGAGGCCTGCACCCTACACTGGAATTGCTAGGTGCAATTCCTGAGCCTAGCTTTCCCCCAGTGCAGACTGTGAGGCTGTGCTGATAGTTCAAGGCATCAAGTTCCTGCTGCCATGTGGAGGACCTGGAATGGGAAGTCCTCAAGTGAAGGCATCGCGCTGAGTGGACAGTAGTTCAAGCATAACCAGAAGAGGTGTGCTTCCTGGGACCCTCTCTGGGGACCCCAGACCTGACTAAGCACTGCTAAACTTCACACTGAAATACTAGATCATGTAGTTTGCACCATACACATTTCAAGCCTCACTTAGTACTTGGAGACCTCAATGTCCCACAAACAGGTAGTCACCAGAGCTGTCATTACTCTCTAGAAAATCCTGAGATTCTTTTCAAATTGAAGAAACCAAGAAAAATAGTGGTTAACCAATTTGCCTTGAAAAGGAAACACCTATCAAGTTTCACCACCCACATCCTTTATTTCAATATAACAGAAAACAGTTCTGACTGACTTCAGTTTAAAATGCTTTGCCTAACTTGAAGCAAGAACTGATGTATGGGTTCAGGCGGTTCATTTATCTTTTAAAAGCTATTTCATGTAAATGTTTGCAACATACTATCATATGGAAAACAACACTATAGAAGGAACTTATTTTTAATGCATATTATTGTATGTGCCTTACTATATTGTGTGCATGTACCACCCATACTATATACACACATGGAATATGCACATGTATATGCAAAATATTGAGTAACAAATGTGGATAAAAATTTAAAAAGGTAAAAATCCAAAATGAACAATTACCTGTGAATAATGAAATTTGTAATTTAAATGTTCAATTCTCTTACTTGTATTTCCAAACTTGTCTGTATCGAAGAAAACTGAATCTTTTTCTTTTGATATTCTGTTAACTACTATCAACAGTACAACTATTTCCCCACAAAGTTTACCTTTCAAGTTCGCTATTTTTCTAAAACTGACATTTTTAGACATTGTGGTAAGCTTCGCCTAAGTGGAAAGAAACGCGGCGCGTGCTGGTTTTGTACACGCCCTTAGAGACCTACCTTCGTCGTACATTTCTTCTATCAAGTAGGCCTCTGCTCGATCCTTCAGAGCATTCACATTGTCGGGTTCAGTTTGTAGAACTTCAGAACATACTCTAATTGCCTCAACAGGCTTCCCATCCTAGAAGTAAAGATGAGAGAAGGATTAGTGTTTGTTATTCCACATGGAGAATTTTTGTATTTCCAGAGACAAGCCAACAGTTACCTTAGAAAAGCAGTGGCAAATCCTTTCTTTCGAACGAATTGTGTATTCAGCAACATTGGGCTCCGTTTTCATGACTGATTCATATTTGCTGGTAGCATCTGTGTATCTGTTAAACGGGCAATCCATGGGTAATAATGGGGCTCTATTTCCAGAGATGTAACAAGTACCTCCCCTCTAATCAAGTCGACTCAATGAGCACAGGTCTTCAAACACTTCTTGCAGCTCATTCTCACAGTAGTGCTGTTCGGTTTAGTGTTAGGAACTGACATAACCAGAGATACAAGCGGACAACTCAAGGCAGACTCATGAGGGACAACCCCAATGGTGATTTACTGTACAGGACAAAGCTCGTGATTTTGAAACTGACTGAAGCACTCAGTCTGACTTCTGGTGAGCACTTTCCACAAAATAGAGATCAAGACATCGCATAGTAAACACACACAGCTAACTAATATAACAAATATCAACAGCCACAGCTGTTACGCAGCCCTCCAAAAAGGAAGCTAGCTGATTCCCAATCCCAGGAGCTTTCTAACAACAGAAACTACTTCAACATTTTCTTTAAGCTATTTAAAAGTATTGGTCATCTAGTTACTTTCCAGTAATGCTAAATGGAAAGCTCCGCAGGTCACCATGGCACATTACGCCCCAAGTGCAGCAATCTTCATTTACCTGCTGCTTTTTTAACGGCGCACTCCTGCCCATGTGCTGCTTCTCTAGCAGATGCCTGCACCAGCTCGGGCTGTGCCAAGGTCAACGCCAGAAGCAGGAATTCAAGCAAGGTCTCCCACTTGGCAAGCAGGAACTCAGACATGCAGCCCATCACTGCTGCCACCGAGGCGCTGTGCGCAGCAGCAGGAAGGCGAGGCAGGAGCCAGCAGGGCTAGTAAAGCCCAGCATCGCCAAACCACCACCCCCAAGTGCTGCTTTCCAAAACACAGGTTTAAGGAAAGTTAGCTTCCACAAGCGCAAAGTAGATTTACTGTCATCAATTCTTCCAGGTAGATAAAACTGAAAGTCTTCAACAATGTATACTATTTCTGCTTTCTGTTTTACAAATCAGACTCTCAAAGGCAACTAGAAGGCGGCCAACTCACTGCTGACCTCGGGAGAACCACAGGGGTGACTTTTCCAAGTTCTTTCATTGCATTCATACCATCAACCCAGAGATGGAACACAGAAACATAAAATTAAACCAAGACACAACAGAAACCTGCTCTCCCAAGCCAAAAAAAAAAAAAAGGTGGGCAGGGTCACAAAGAAAACGGAGAGTAGCGCAGAGCCTACACCCTACCTTCCCTGCAACATGGTTACAAAGAAGGCCCAGAGGCAGCCAGGACTTTCTCATGTGGTGCCCACTCCCCCAGCAGTGTCAGTAAAGACTGCAAGGGCCACAACACTCACCCGTGCCACAAAGCTCCAAGCTAACTGTGGCAGCAACAAGATCCCTGCCCTCCATATCAACAATAGCTAAATGGAAAATGTCTGAACCCATCTAGTAGCAAGATGGTGGTGCCCACCCTCCACTTAGCTGGAGCACCACCTGCAATGGTCTGCCAGAACAGGTTTAACTAGAAACCAAGTCATGACACAAAATGAAAACTCCAGGTGTCAGTGACAACACTTAGCTCCCAGAATCAGGAAGATCTCAAATAAGACAAATTCCAAAAATGAAGAAACAGACATGTTAGAATTATCTGACAGATAATAAAACAGTCTTGAAAAACAAGGTGGAAACCAAACAACTCAAAGAAACAATGAATCAGCAAAGAAATATAAAATATAAAGAATAACCAAATGGAATTCTCAAAACTAAAAATTATAAAACCATATGAAAAGTATTAGGAGTCGAGAGGTCAGAGCCTCCTCTCTACGAGGCTGCATGACATGGACTGGCCTTTACTCTTCTCAACCTTTCTGCCAAGCTAACAGAACACTCCAGACCACCACATTAAGGCACAACCCCTTACTTCTGGAAAAATCCTACTTGTCCTTAAGATCTCTGAAAGACTCTTTATTTAACTCCTCACCTTTACTTTCTGGCCCAGTACTGTCTACCGTGGCTGTCCAGAACCCAGCCCAGGCAGGGAGAGGCTGGACGCTCCGGACAGCATCTTCTTACCTGCCATCTTTGATGAGCTCTTCGGCTGACTCAATCAGCTTGTTAAGTTTCTTGACTTGTTTGTAGTGTGCAAAACACTTTTTATGATCCTGATCAAGTTTAAGGCATTCACGAACTTCACTGCTCATACATTGAAAAAAAAAAAACAATCAATTTCCATATTAAATTCAAAAATAATAAAAGTATTTTTGTTAATAAAAACATACTGAATTTATTATATTTTCAGATATCACATCTACCATGTACACTAATTCAAATTAAAATGACTTTCTAGATTTATAAACATTCCATCCCTTCTGCAAATAAAATCACCATACTAATTATTTCAATAAACATTCATGAAAATAAACTTGATTTAGAATAACAGATTACAAAATACATAATTAACAGCCTTAACTACATTTTAGCAATTTAACATTTAACTTGTATAACATGGAGTTAATTTATTGACAACAATTCTGAAATGATCAGATATATGTCACTAGACCTGACCTGAGGGACAGTTCATGGTCTCCTAGTTGGTAGTACAATGTGCTGATTTTATAAAATGCCTCAGTATTATCATTCTTTAATTTTGATGCAGCTTTTAGGTCACTTATTGCTTTCCTAGGCTCCCCTTCTCTTATAAAACATTCAGCTCGAAGTTCCCGTAGTTCGGCATCCCAGACACAAACCTTAAAAAACAGAAGAACTAAACTTTAAGAAACAGATTATACACATTTATTCTTGCACACCACATAACTATCTGCATAGTTATCGACATAAAATATGCTCAATTAATGCAATGATTTTTATGTTGCAAGTAGTGCTTAAAATTGAAACAATTGCAGCATAACAAAAATGATGACACAATAACTTCTTCAGAGGAAAGGGATACACCTAAAAAGCCCCCTTTACTACCTTCTTCAATAACACAATTCTAAAATTCTGAAGAAAACAACATTCACAATTACAATGAAATATTTATTATTCCCAGTGAAACATTTGAAGAGAATATTCCACAAACTTTTTCTTAATTAATCTAATTTCTAGTCAAAAAATGAAAAGTTCCAAATTATAAAAAAACATTTATTCCACTGATAAGTAAATGCAATTATCTCTTGTAAAATATCACCTCCTTGAAATTATGTCCTCTTCAAAACAAAACAAAACAAAACAAAACAAAACAAACTGTGAGAAGGCAGGAGAGTAAGAAGTTGCCATTTCTTATCTTGACAAAAACTTTACCATGTATGGTAAACGCAGCATTATGCAATATGTAACCCCAAAGCTCACCAGTAAGGCTTGCAAAAATCTTTTCACATTTCTTATACATACTTACATATGAGGAAATCAAAATCAGTACTATACACACTTAGTAGGCCAAGTCTACAGACTAAGGTAGAAATTATGAACTTTTTATTCCCTCAACAATGTATAAACAAAACAATTTAATAAAAACTTGAATTGTGCTGAACTATATCACATGGTTTCCTCCAGGAAATTACCAAAGAAGGGCAGGCATTTATTCTGCAGGGTAAGAGGCCAGTTCAGCTGCTATGTCCCAGGCAGGCATGCCTGAGGGTGACACCTGGCTTGGCTCCCGACTCCAGCTGCGGCAGTGACAGCTCAGGAACTCAGTTCCTTCTGCCAGCTTGGGAGAACTGGACTTAGATCCTGGCCGGAAATCAGCAGATGGGAAAACTCACTCTGTCTTCCCTCCTTCTCTTTGTGTGTGTGTATAAATATTTTTTTTAAATATGCCAGCATACAAAAGAACGCAGTAATAAAAAGAAAAAACATGTATCAAGAAAATGCCTATTCTATGTCCATCATGTTTACTACCAAGATTAAACGGGGCTATACCAAAGAACTAAAAGTGCAATGAGCTGATTGCTTCCACGAGTGTCTGGGTGGACTTCCTTCTAAGCCCTTCGGGGGCAAGGAAACCCCAGAGCTCAGTCTCCCTACTCCTAAACCTCTGGGTCTTACCACTCTGTCTCCCTTTGCTGCTTAGAAGCTTTTCATTCTGAACATTCTCTTTTGTCACAAACATAATGTAAAATCTTCAACTCTTTCCTCTTATACACCTCTATCTAACATTTACAGCTCTTCTCTACCGCTCCAAGAATTCAAACAAAATAGGCAAGCCAGCAATGTATAAAAATGTGTAACTTTCATCCATGAAACATTCAATATTGATGGAAGTTAGTATGGAGAATGCTAAAAGAACTAAAAATGTATCTGCCATATGATGCAGATATCCCACTTCTGGGAATATATCCAAAGGAAATGAAATCTGCACGAGAAAGGGATCTGTAATCCTGTATTTATAGCACCACAATCTACAATAGGAAAGACACGGAAATAATCCAGATGACCATCAAAACAACAATGAATAAAGAAACTGCGGGACATCTAACTCTGTGGAATAGTACTCAGTCATTAAAAATAATTAAATTCTATTCTTTGCAACCAAATGGTCCCTACTAGAGACCATTATGCTCAGTGAAATAAGCCAATCCCCAAAGGACAAATGTCATATGTTCTCTCTGATATAATCCCCTTCATGCAAAATGTAAGATCACTATAGTTATATGGGTAAGCATCCATACACACACACACTTATCTAGAGGGTCTGTATAATGCAGGCAAGTATACCATGAGGTGGAGATACACTGCAGTATACATTTCTACTTCTGAATGAAAGATGGACTCCCAATGAAGCTTAAATATATCTTGACAATAGAATGCTCGACTTTCTGCCATTGTCTATACCTACAGTGTCAGGATACACTTGGATAGCAGAACCTGTGACTATTGTTGAAGGACTAAACTATTGTTAGAAAATAGGGGAGAACAGTGGGTGGACGAGGGTGGGGCAGTGTGGAAGGGTAAAATCCCCGAGTCTAAGGAACTGCATCATTAAAAAAAAAGGATAGAAACTGTGTGTGTCTGTGTGTATACACAAGTATATATAACAAGTACAGAAACTGTCCAAAGGAAAGAACAATAAAATTTAAGTAAACAGCAAAAGAAAAAAAAACCTCAGGTCCAAATTCTGTCACATGTACATAAGATCTTTGACTTAAGAACTGAAAGTCCAAGACCAATCTGACTTTACCTTGCCTAGGATTACTATTGTTGTGGTTGTCGTCATTTTAAGATTTATTTCTATGTGAAAGAGTTACAGAGGAGAGAGAGAGAGAGATATCTTTCATCTACTGGTTCACTCCCCACACAGCCGCAATGCCGGCAGCTGGGCTGGTTCAAGGCCAGGAGCTTCACCTGGGTCTCCCACAGGGATGAAGGTGCCCAAGCTCGTAGACCATCCCTTGCTACTTTTCCAAGTCATCTTAGCAGGGAGCTGGATCACAAGTGGAGCAGCTGGGACTTGAACCAATGTACATATTGGACACCAGAGTCACAGGTGGTGGCTTATCTTTCTATACTACAGTGCTACCCCACTTGTGTAGATATTCTGTGGTACATAACATATCAAAATGTAGGAACACACTTTACAATAAACAGCAATAAGTGTTAGGCCGCTCTGCTAGAGTAGCTAAGAAACTTACCTCTAAAATCTTATCAAGGAAGGTTATAGCAGCCGTATAGTCCGAATTTTCAAAGGCATCAAAAACTTGGGAGCGCAAACGCTGCATTTCATCAGACTTTGTAAGCTGGGACTGGGCTTCCTTTTCTTCATTTTCACTTGGATTAGATTTGAGCTACGAAAATAATAAAGCAGAGTTTTTACTCTCTTAAGTCTAATACCCATAAACTCAAATATCTAATCACTCCAAATACTTAAGGCCGTTAAAGAAAATGGATAAAGAAACACTGGCAAAACTGCCTGGTCCAATGACTTGCTTCATAGGAGAGGCAGCAGAGAAGGCATCTTTACTTCAACATAAGAGCAAAAACTGGTCTGGACTAAGACCTAGTTGCCTCTGTCCTCTGCTCCTGGCAAACTTCTTGAAGTAAATTTGGGTAGAAATGTGAAAAGGTTTACAGGGAGTAAGAAAAAGTACTCGGTCACTGTTACACACAGCTGAGTAAATTCATCTTTAACATTTGCTTCCTATTTTCATTTCTTACGTCTTTAAGTATAAACAATCTTACCAAAATAATGAAACACAAAAGCAAACTAAGGAAGGCAGCTTTTTCACAGAGGTTAGGGGATAAAACAGGTTCTATACCAGAGGGGTTAACACATAAAATAGGGAGATGCACGGGGAAAGAGTAATGCCTTCTGAAAAGACTCATGACAGGGATCTGACAAGTTTCCAAGTGCCTCTTTTCAAATAATTTTATAAATGCTCAATGAACATACATTAAAACTTAGTCTGAGTGTGCAATTCTATTTGTTATTACATTTCCCAAGCTATGCAACATCAGCACAACTTTCGGCCATTCCTTTCCAGTAAGGAAGCAAATTTCAGTAAGATCTTTGCGTTGCTCACTCGATCCAGTGCATGTGAACTCTTACCAATTTCATCCCTCAGATGGAACATCTTGAGATTAAATCAATGACTCAGAAATGGCAAGTGCCCACAGTAAACTCTGAGGGACGGACTCTGAAGACCATGAAGATTGGGAAGGCTGCGACACTAAGTATCATCAGGAACGACCACGACTGCTTTCTCTCAAGATTTTTCCTGAACAACTTGGTTCTTGCAATTGAAGGTTTTGCATCAGGGCCATGGTATGTTTGTCTTTATCTGTTTTTGCATCCTTTTTTAAAGATTTATTTTTATTGGAAAGACAGATATACAGAAAGGAGAAGAAACAGAAAGATCTTCTGTCTGAAAATTCATTCCCCAAGTGACTGCGGTACTGCGCTGATCTGAAGCCAGGAGCCAGGAGCTCTTCCAGGTCTCCCACAAGGGTGCAGGGTCCCAAGGCTTTGGGCTGTCCTCTACTGCTTTCCCAGGCCACAACTGGAAGGAAAGCAGGGCCACCAGGATAAGAACCGGCACCCATATGGGATCCCAGCGTGTTCAAGGCGAGGACTTTAGCTGCTAGGCCACGGCGCCAGGCCCTGTTTTTGCATCCTTGAGGAGCCTTGAGTAGAACACAATGGCTAGAGGAAACTGATGTGTTCCCAGTAAAAGATGCTGACTGGCAACTTGTTTTCTAGATGACATAGATTCTTTCAGATAGAGACTAACTCTGTTGAAGGGAATTTGCGTATTTTTTTTCTCCTAGAGTCTAGTCCTCCACATAGCTTTTCCTGTTGGAAGGTGAGGACAAAGCCCTCGATCTCAAGGTTGAAGACAGAAGATTTGGACTCTCTGTGTCCAATGAGAATGGGAGAGAGAGAGGCAGGATCAGGTCAGGTCACCCGGGCTTCCGGGGAGCCAAGGAGGAAGAAGGAGGGGAGTTTTCCAATAAAGAAGTAGCTAGAGAAACAAAGGCAAGACTTGCTTAGAAGCCTGAAGCACTTCAAAGGGGTGATGGGCAATTGCCTTGCGACGATGCCACTGGCACCTACCAAAGACCCTCTCACTGCCCAAGATCTCTGCACTACGGTCTTCCCTCTTGCCATTTTTTCACATCCCTTCCTTGGTACTTCCATGTTTCTGACTTTTTTAGCCAAATCCCTTTCCTACAACAATACTGTATTTCTTCTCTCCACTTGTCTGAGCTTCTCAGATACAAATCCAAAAAAGCTATGTGCTATTGAAAGGGGCTCTGTTGAATGTGATGACTGCCCCCTAACAGGACTGTACCTCTGCTTCTGGCACCTCAACTAAGAACAGTCAGCTGGCACGCCGATGCCCTTGCTGTCCTGAACATTAACTGAAGAACTGGGTTTCAGCATCTTCCCATTTAAGAAGGACATCACAGAAACTGACAGTTTTGTAGATACCATGACCAGCTTCTGACTCAATCCAATTGAGGCTAACATTTTCTGGATTTATCTGCAGATTACTAAGTACTAAGACAATGGTCATGACAGTATTGGAAATTTTAGCTTTATCTCCATAGCGATTATTCTCACAGTAACGAAGCATTTCAATAAGTTACCAAAAATAATATAAGGTAATGAACAAAGTGTTTATATATAGTTAGAGATGGATGGATGGACAGATGGGAAGAGAGAGAGAGAGAGAGAGAGACTGCCTTGGTGAACCACTGTAGAAATCAATCCATGTAAAATGAAAATGCACATCTTAAAGCAATTAAGTTCATTCTTCAGTCAAAAGGCCTTCAGTGATACCATGAGTCCCCTAATAAATCCACACACGTTACACTCTGGACAGCAGCCATTAGGAATAATTGTAAAATCCCCTTTTAAGACTCACTATTCCTTTCAAATCAAATCAAATCAAATCAAAGGTTTTGCCAGTCACATCAAGGCTTTGAAGGAGTTCAGCTGGTGTCTCAAGGTTCCCAGAAAGGACAAAGTGCGCCACACGAGTCAGTTGGGATTACACAACCATTATGTACATCTGCCTTCTGTTAATGTGTCTGAATTCAATTATCAAATACTAACTTAAGAACTGTGATCCCCACAAAAATAAGTCACATCATTTTCCCTTCTAGCTACAGAATCACTACTAAATATTTTAATATAGAAAAATGAACCCAATATATTCTCTCAAAATAACATTTTCCCAGAATCAAGTAAACATCAACTTACCACTTTTTTAAAATCATCTTCTGCTTCATCAAGTTTTCCTTGTTTGAGTAATAAATGACCTCTCTGTAATCTTGCCTGTAGGAAGAAAAACACAAGGGTTTCCTGAGCCATATGAATTTTCTAAATTTCTTAAACATAAAGACCAACATTAAATAAGCTAATGTAGTTATGACTAAATATTTTTCCAAAGACTATTTGATTTGGTACTGAGAATAATTTCTGGAAATAATTATGGATAGTTTTTACTAGAGTATACTTCCTTCAAAATAATTTCCCCTATCCAAGAAAATTGAAACACATCCACACAAAAACTTGTACACGAGTATTCATAATAATGGCCAAAAAAGTAATTCAGCAAATATGATAGAGACAATGAAGCAATGTTATTCACATAAACAGGAACGCACTCATAGACACAACATGAATGAACCCTGAAATTATGCTCAGTGAACAAAAGACCCAAACAGCCACATATTACATGATTCCATATACATAAGCTATCCATCTCTTTCGGTAGTGATAAAAATGTTGTGGAATTGACCAGTGAATTCATATGATGAACAAACTTCAAAAAGAGTTGTGTCAGGGTGTGAATAACCTGTTTTAAAATGCTTCTAGCCATTATAATAAAATTTGTATAATATGAAGCCTTACCAATCAAAGCTTCAAAGGTAGGTTTTCTTTTAATTTGTTTAAATTTTGGATTAAGAGAAACACATTTTATTCGTTATGCTATATGTTGAAAGATACAAAATTTAAATCGATATCAAGAAATTAACCCGTGGGAATGGGGGGGAGAAATTCCACACCCTATGGAATTGTACCATAAAATTTTTTTAAAAATTAACCCTTCCATTGCCTTTATCTCAGATTACATTTAGCTGTTTAGTGAAGCACCAGAAATAATTACCTTCACACCAAAATTCCTATTATCAGAGCTCTCCCTCCTCCCAGCCTCTACAATAACTATTTCAGATTCACATGAACGCCATGTGTATATACACCCTTAACTTCCACACACAAGGGGAATACGTAGCACTCGTCTGATTTTGCTTATTTCACTGAATCGAATGGTAACCACTCATTCCCATCCATTTTGCTGCAAATTTCAGAATTTCATTTTTTCTTAAGGTCAAGTAATATGCCACAGTCATTCAGCCACTGAAGGACGTCTAGCTTAAGCATGTGTCTCGGCTATTGTGAATACTGCTGCAATGAAGAGGGGAGTACAGGTGTTTCTTTCGTGTGGTTTCATTTCCTGTAGATATATTCCCAGGACAGCTGGCCCATATGGCATAGCTGTTTCTAGTTTGAGAAATGTCCCCACCATTCTCCACCATCATTAACTAATCCACCAGCAATGTATTAGGGTTCCCTTTTCTCCACAACCTTGTCAGCATTCATTATCTTTTGTCTTTCATATATGAACAAAAATGAAATGATGCTTCAGGTGGCTTTACTGAAAAAATGCTGAGCATTTTTTTCCATGTGCTTAGTGGTCACTTAATTTTTTTTTCTTTTGAAAAAAGCATTTCGTCCCCATTTCTTTCATTTCCTTCTCTTATGTGAAAGCCAGAGAGACCAAGGCAGGGAGGGAGCTTCCACTCACAAGATTACTCCTGCAGACTTCCCTCCACAGCTGGGGCAGACCAAAGACAGGATCCAGAAATAGCTGGAACTCAAACCCAGGCATCCTGACACTGATGCCAGTGCCCAACTGGTGGCCTAATGTCAGGGCCAAACGCTGCCCCTTTGGGTCCATCCCATAACTGAACTACCCGTTTGTTGTGCTTGATTTATTTTTCAGCCCATATATTCTAGATAATTTTATAATAATGGATGGTTTACAAATATTTTACCCTACTTTTCTTTTCATGCTGTTCATTTAGAGAAGGTTCATAGTTTGAAAAAGAAAAATCCCATTTGTCGATTTTTAGCTTCCATGAATTGTACTTTTAGAAAGTTCTTTGTAAAAAAGTCATTGTTTCTGTCAAGATATTGAAGCGTTTCCCTTGTGTTTCCTTCTGGCATTGTCTTGGTTTCACACCCCACATTTGTACCTTAGATCCCGTTTGAGTTGATTTTTATGGGTGAAAGGTACAGGGTCTTGTTTCACACTTTTGTAAATTGAGATCCCATTTTCCCAGCACCATTTATTCACATGGTTGTCCTGAGGGAATATTTTTAGCTCCTTTGATAAAAATACTTTGGGCTATAGAAGTGTGGATTTATTTTGGAGCTTCTATTCTGTTCCATAGATCTATATGTCTGTCTTCATGCCACTACCAGCATGCTTTGGTTATAACAGTCCTGTATTACATCTTTTAAACTGACGTTGTGGTGCCTTCAGCTTAGTTCTGTTTCTGATTTAAGGTCTGTGTTTCCATGCAAATTTTACATTTCTAAAAGACTTATTTTGCTTGTAAATCTGAATTACGTAGAGATGGTGATACAGAGACAAGAGAGATCTTCCATCTTCTCTTTTCTTCCACAGATTGAGACATGGAGTCTGCCATGCCAAAGCCAAGAGCTCTATGGGCTCTTCCAGCCCCCACATGGGATCCCAGTGTTACAGGTGCTAGGCTTACTTGCTATGCCACAATACTGGCCCCCTCCAAATGAATTTTAGAATCAGTTTTCTAACTTCGGGAAGAGTATCACTACTATTTTAACTGAAGACTTAATTGAATCTGTGTGCCACTTTGAGTAGTATGCACACCTCGATAATATTAATTTTTCTAATCCATGAACAGAGAGATCTTGTCTTTTTTCGATCATATTTTCATTTTAGTTTTTAACATCCTTGGTTAAATTTATCCTAATATTTCAATTGTCTTAGCTATTATGAATAGAATGTTGTTACTGCTTTTTCTCAACGAGTTAACTGTTAATGTATAAAAATGGCAGTGACTTTTGCATATTGGTTTTGCATCCTAAAACTCTGCCAGGTTCATTCATCAATTCCGATAGTTTCATGGATTCTTTGGGTTTATCTATAACCAATAGATATAGCAGAACAAAGAACATCTGAATTTACAGATAGATCTTTTGAAATATTTTAGTTGGCAGAAGAAAAAATTAAAAACAACCAAAACAGGGATCTCTGGGGTACCATTAAATAAATGCTCCAGTGCTTAGGTTTTGGGGAATCCCAGAGGAATGGAAGAAAGAAATGGCTTAGAAAATCTCTTCAATGAAATAACACCTGACACTTCTCCAATCTGGAGACTTGAACATACAAATACAAGAAGTCCATAGGATCACACAAGAGACATGACCAGAAAAGAATACCAAGGTCAGGCTTTCGAAAGGAAAACACAAAGAGAAGAAATTAAAATTTGTAAGAGAAAAACAGCTGGTCACATTTAAAGGAGCCTACATTAGATTGGGGTGTCAGTTTGGTTTTAGTTTCAGTAGATGACAGTGCAGGCTCCCTGTATCTTTATAACAATAGCAGTGGAGTAATCTCTACATACTACTCCTCAAGGACAGTAACAGCTGTGGGACCTGGGGGTGCTCCTGGGTCGTGTCATGCTGGGATCACCGTCACACAACTCGCCAGACATCTCCCAGGGAGGGACTGGAGTCAGGATCCTCATCGCTACTGATGCTGCTGCTGCTGGGAACAGGGCTGGCATAGACTCCCAGGCACACCTATGTCAGGAGCCAGAGCTTCAAGAACAAACCAGGATGTGGGCAGGACAGACTGATACTGGATCAGGCTGTAATGACAGATCTCCAGTTACCGCCCACTCTGGAGCCACAGGAACAGAACAATGTTGGGTGAAGAAGGTAGGTCCCCCAGTTACTGTTTGAAGAAATGGCTGGGTCCACAGAAGCAGCTATGGCTCTAGAACCAGGCCCCAAGTTCATGTACAGCCAAAGCCTGCAGCAGTGCACCAGGCCAGAGTCTTGAGCAAGCAAGCTATGTACTGGGCTTGGTAGGGTACCAAAAATCTACCAGCTCTCTGTCTAGAGAAGCCCTGTGTTCACCTCCTCAGAGGAGACCCACAGCAGCAGCTGCCTAGAGAGAAGTCCAGCCTGATGGATTGGGATAGCTGGGGTATACAAACCCCAGCAATTGTCCATGGGAGAAGATGGAGACCAGAGTGGTGTTGGAACTGTCTGCAGGCCTCTAACCTGGGATGCGAGCAGGCTGGGCACTTGCCGAGTCCTAAACAAACTTCCCAGAATGTACACACAATCCCTAGTTGATATACAGTTCTGAGCCCCAGTGGACACACTTGGTGGGGCCACATGAACCCTGATCTGCAGTCCCATGTTCACAGATTCCAGCAGCACTATTGATGTCCCATGTTGCTGGGGAGGGAGAGAAAAACGGGAATGAAGACAATCCCTGGGTTTAAGTGAGCAGGCATCACTATTTCTAAAATCATAGGTGCCAGATCTCCCAGCTGCTCTGTACCCAGAGTTCCTAAGGTGCAAAGCTTCATGTAGTGTGTGGAGCTGGGCCCAGCTGGATATGTGAGGCTACGGTCTTCCTTACAAAAAGGGTAAGGGGATCGGGGAATCACACAGCCAAGGATTTGTCTCCTAGTGCAGCATGTATGTCGACAGTTAGTTCTCCTTTCCCAAGACAGGGCCACTTACATTCTGGGAGTTGAGGATAAGTCCTTATCTGACGCACAGTAGTTGCGAGTTCTCCATGTCCTTACTGAGCGATTCGTCTGCAGTGACTGGATTCCTAACAAAAATGGCCCAAGCTGGTCTCTCATGCTCACCCTTTTCCTATTACTGTGCAGGTGATAAGGTCCTTTTAAATAAAGACCAAGAGCTAATGTCTATTCTTTCAATGTTCAGATGTCTTCCACAGGGCTGCAGTTTAGTTACTGTTTCTTCGTCTCTGTGCCACCCTCCCTGGTCTCTGAATCCTACAGACTTCCCACTATTCCCTTGCTGAATTCTGGGCTCTCTCACAGGCACTGCAACACGGAGCTACTTGAACTGCTGCCATGGGTTTCCTGTGAAGAGGTGAACACGGGCCTCTCTAGGCAGCTATCTTGAAACCTCCACATCTGCTTTTCAGTGCAAGTATTCAATCTATCATAACGAGAATTAAGACTCCTCTATTTTAGCATGCAGCTTCTCCTTCTTCATCTCTGATACCCAATTGACAAATGTGTAATTTCCTATCTTCCAAGAACATCAATTCTGAAGGCCATTATGTCCCAGAAAACAGAAATCAAATCAGTAGTTCACTTAAACTTTTATATTACTTGTACATAAAAATGTCAGTAATCTTCTAATTAACAGTAACCTGTTAATTCAACAATACCCATAAAAAGTAAAATGAATCATTTCAACTAGCTAACAGAACAGCTATTACTGCACCAAGAAAATCAACCACTTCGCAAAAGGTTGTGGTTAAAAATGTGATATTTGGGAATTCTATCTTAAACTAATAGTATTATTTCAAATCATTTATGGCAAACACTTTTCAGATATGGCAGAGTAATAATGGTTATTGAAACCATCTGATCACTGCTTCTGTGAGTTCTGACTGAAAGACCCAAATCCACTCCATTTCATGAGTTCCCTGTACACATGTCTTCCAGAGGCCTTACAGGTGACCTGTCAATCATCAGGCTACCTTCTCTACCTGTAAGGAGTATGCTGAATCTGGAGGAGATGTGGCTAATTCATCCCACAAATCATTGCTTAGCTCAGTCAGCACATGCTGTGGCCTTCACCCAACTGTTGTCAGCCACCTGACAATCCTTAATTCATTCTCTTATTCAGCTCATTACCTCACACCCTGTACTCCACATTCCACACAGCCTTTTCTTTCTAAACCACAAAGCTACATCACTGTCAGGCTTCTAGAAAGTCCCCTGTCGCATGACTGTTTCTGCTCCATCCAGACCTGTGGTTCTGGGGACCCTGGATCACTTGCTCACTAGGCCACTACCTGCATACAGTAGCTTTGGCACCTCCAGTTGTTTCTAGCAGGCAGTTTTACCTTAAACAAGTTACCAAATTCCCTCCAGGATCCCTGCAAAAATAAATAAATAAATAGATAGATACTTACTGCAGTGAAATCCATCTTCAATTCAATCACTTTAGTTAAATCAGGAAGCGCAGCTTTTGATTTGCCCATAGCTAAAAAGACAGTAGCTCTCCGATAGTAAGCAATATAGTTATCAGGATCACCATCTGAAAATGAAAATAAATATTAACTCAGATTGATTCGAGAACCAGATTACCTGAACAGTACAAAATTTTTAATTCTATTAAGAAATGCGTTAATAAAAGCGTCTTTCAAAAATAAGCCCTGAATCTAGAACAGGTGGCAATACACTATAGTCCTTGGACTAACGCTCAACTCTCCCACCTCTGTTAAGAATTCAGTGTTAACAATTTTTCTTTTTCTGGTGTTTGGCCTCCTGGTTGTGGTGAAGATGTCCACATCAAATATCAGAGTGTATGGTTTCAATTCCCAACCCTGACTCCCAATACCAGCAGACCCTGCCAACAGCAGGTAGCTGGGCCCCTGCCATTCAAATGCAAAATCCAGATTGAGTTCTCAGCTCCCGGCTCAACTCTAAGTCACCATTGGCTGATACAGGCATGTAGGAACTGCACCAGCCCATGGCAGTCTGTCATTCTATTTCTCTTTCTTCTTTCTTTTTCTCTTTCTCTTTTCCTTCTCTTTCCGTTTCTCACACATTTTAAAAAATATTTTTCACATTTTTAGAGTTGCAAAAAAATACCATTGTAAAAATTAGATTATATCATAGCAAGGCCTAAAATTTTTGTCTGGTTCTTTAAGATAAACATTTAGAAATCTTTTGATCTAGAATAGATTCAACTTATAACTTCTACATGTATCCACTTCTGTCTTTACTTGCTGATATTCCCAAGTAACAATTCAGAACATGAACTATGCCCTTATTTACAAGATTTGGGAAAGTTGCAGACTTCCAACTAAATTAACATTTTTAGCACACACTCACTGCTTCTTCATAAAATTCAACTAAATAGAAAGGAAGAAATAAATATACAAACCTCAAAGTTAAACGAGAATGGATATGAGACTGGCATTAGAGAAGACATTAGAAAATGTAATAACATTTGAAAGAAAAGAGGATGACTCGGTTTTGAGCTAACTCAACTCATCAGCACACACAAAATTAAGGAGTGAATTCAATTAGACACAAAGCTCATGCTGCAGAACACTTTTCTGGAATGCAAAGATGCTAAAACGTCTTAATCAGATTCAGTCATCTTTTATATATACATATTATATGTGTGTACCTGTATATATATGTGTGTGTATACACAGATGTTCATCATTGTAAGATTGACCACTGAAATTTCCTGGAAGTTCCATCCACAAAGGCCATACTTGGAAAATATTACAGTAGGGGAGTCTGTAAAGCAGGATGGTCGGAATCACTCAGCCCCATGGCTTGGAACAGCTGTTAGTAGCACTGAGAATTACCTGAAGCACTGCCGGGAAAGGATGGCCCGAGAAGAGAATAGGGCGCACAGTATAACTACATGTTCAAGGTGGTAAAGAGATACACAAGAGGCCAAGAAGCACATGAAAAGATGCTCACTACTCATCGGCGGAAAAATACAAACCAAAACCACATGCAGGGATGGGTGTTGTGGCACAGTGATTAAGATGCCACTAGGTGCACTCACATTCCAGTGCCAGTTCAAATCCTGGCTTCTCTGCTTCCAATACAGCTTCCTGTAAGCATCCTGGGAGGATACCCAGAAGCCAGCCCAGTAACTGGGTACCAGCCACTCAGAGGCAGGCCCTGACCAACCCTGGCTCGCAGGGACATTCAGAGTGAACTCGTGGGTACAAATACAGCTGTGTACTCCCTCCCTCACTCCCCCTCTCTCTGCCTTTCAAATACAAATGAATAAACAAAACATTAAAAAGCAACATGCACATACATACAGATACTACCCTCACACCTATTAGGAGAGCTATACAAAAATCTGACTAGGACAGTATAACAATTTCAAAGAGAAAAAGGTAGAAGAAAAAAACAAATGTTAGCAAGTAACACTTGGAAATAACCCCATTACTCATCAGTAGTTGAACAGATAAGTGACACACACACACAATGGAATATTATACAGCCTGATAGAGAAGTTTTCATAATACCTGCTGCAACATGGATAAACCTTAACAATGTAATTCCAAGTGAAATGAAAAGACAAATATTTTATGATTCCTGAGGTACCTATGGCAGGCAAATTTCAGAAGTAGAATGGCAGTAGCAGGGGCTGTTGGCAACAGCAAAGGTGGGCAACTGTTGAGTGTACACTTTCAGTTTGGAATGAGGAACAACTTCTGGTTGTGGGTAGTTAAGATCTATACAATGGGCACACAAATACTTCCACTCAACTGTACATTTAAAAATGGTTAACATGGTCAATTTTGTTAGGTATACTAATTAGGTGATTGGAGGGAAAGGGTCATTTTTTCAAACTTTGAAAAAAAAAAAGAATCGGATGTTTTAGTAACAAATTTTTTTTAAGTCTAAAAATAAATAAAATCAATCAATACAGGATTACAGCTAAGTACTATTGACTTGTCTGATAAATTTCTCCTGGATGGTTAAGAGAGGAAAGCCAATGTATTAGCCAGTTTTAGAACATCTCTTACAAATTAACCTTGAATAAAAATAGTTACAATATGCAGAACATAGCTGAATATTTGAATACTTTAAGTTGATTTTATATTTTGTTTGGAATGTATAATAAATTAAAATTTTATAGACCTGATCAGCTTAACTAGCTACAGAATGATTTAATATTTTCACAATGGGTTAAGCAGCTCCCTGAAACACAGGCATCACAAACAGGCATTTTTAATCCCAGTTGCTCTACTTCCCATTCAGCTCCCTGCTAATGTGCCCAAAGGGCTTGGGCCCCTGCCACTCGGACGGACGGAGTGACATCTCTGGCTCCTTGTTTAGTGTTTTGGTTTTGTTGCCTATGCTCTGGGGATCTTGTTCATAAAACTGTCCTGTTCCAAGATCCCAAAGCATTTCCCCTATACTTTCTCCTAATAGTTTCATGACTGCAGGCCTTACATTAAGTTTCTTGCCTATTCTGAGCTGATCTGCTTATAGTGAAGATGGGAGTACAGTTATATATCGCAATTTTTCCAGCAGCACTTACTGAAAAGGCAGTCTCATTTTCAACAATTATTCTTAGCACTTCTGTCAAAGACCATGTAAGTTACAGATGAATTTATTCTGGTCAGTAAATTTTCAACTTTTACTTGTTCGCCTCTCTCCCTTTCATTTGAAGAACTCCTTTTATCATACTTTAGAAGGCAGGTCTCCGGCCAACAAGTTTTCTCAGCTCTGACTTTCTGAAATGACTCGTGTACTTACAGCACAGCTTTGAGGATACAGTATTTCTGGTTGGCAGGTTTTGTTTTTCATTATTCCCCCTTCACTAACACAAAGTGTCCAGCCTGCTCACCCAGTCTGTCAAGAAGTCTGCAGTCAGATGAGCGGGGGGACCCTTGTGTGTTGTTCCTATTCTGTTCAAGATTTCAATCTTCTCTGTATCTTTAAACTTACAGAGCTTCACCTTAGTGAGCAGCAATGTGACGCAGCACGTTCCGTCACCACCTGCCGTGCCTCCATCCCATAGAGGTGCCAGTGTGTGTACCAGCGGCTCTGCTTCTGTTCCAGCTCCCTGTCAATATGCCTGGTAGCAGCTTGGCAACCACGCCAGATCCAACTCAGGTATATTTTGTATTACTCCCTTCTCTCTGTTGAGTTTCCTTGTTATAATAATGAACAATCTTGAGTTTCCTTAAAATAGATATATGCAGAATTTAAAATCACTAACAATTTACATATGTTCTTTTCTGAAAGTTCATGGTTCCATGAGGGTTCTTGAGGTTGGCTGGCATGCAACATTTGTGCATTAAAGCAGAAATTTTGGGGGGTCATAGAAAGTCTGGCTTTGCACAGGTCTTCCCAAAATTCTAAGCAATCTGAGCCTGTGGACACTTCCACTATTTAAACACTAGATGTCACCCTAACACAAAGCCGGCTCTAAGTCTGGCTGGTGGGTTGCCACTCTAGGCTTGTCCCAAATTTGTAATTGGTGAGTCATTCATATGTACTGGAAATAAGAGCCTTGTGCTGGGTCTTGCCAAAGCACCTTGAATTGAGCTCTAAAGCAAATCTTGTACTGACTATGTCACCTCATTCCCCAGTGCCCAGAGTCTTGCCTGCCTGCCAGAGGCCAGGAAAAGATGACAAAGGCAATCCACTTGGCTAAAGATTCAAAGACAGTTCAGGTACTGGCCTCTAGACAGGAGTTACCAGGCCCTGTGGACACCAAGTTTTCCAAGGAAGCCTGATACTGGGCTTTAAGTCTAAGGTCTCAACTTAATTCCTGCTCCCTCCTCCAGGTCAGAAGGCATGGAGCTGGAGTGCTTATAGCTCGAGTGTGGGGAGCAACCCTGTTTTCTGCCTTCTTCACTGTGGTCTCACTGGACTTCCCCAGGTCCTGTGAAGGTGGCTTGTACATGAGCAGCAGTTCCAGTCGGCCTCTGAGACCAATGAATATCTGCTCCAGCTGCCACCTTGTTCCATCTCCAAATGTTCGATGAATTTAAGGATCCCACAGACTTCTTACTGCACCTAACATATCAGTGATAGCAACGATTTATACACATCCTAGTCCAGAAAAGATCCCTTGAAGTGTGGATTTACGCCTCATTGACTTTTGGGACTTCATACACTGGTTCACAGTAGACACTCCAATGAGGAGGAAAGAAAGCTAAGTTCTGACAACCACAATGGTGAAGGTCAGCTTCACCACACGCTAACACGTACCCAAGACAACAGGGACCTAAGAAGGCACCAGAGATGGCTCGGCAACAGATGTGCCTCATCAGCATACTCAGGCCACTGGCCATAAAATCAGCAATGACATCTTCTAAAGTTGATGTAACTTCCTGCAATCTATATAAGACTACTTATTTCTAGTTTTGGACATGTTTTTTCAGGCACTGTCAGCAAAAACTGCACTGGATTCTATTGGGGAAAAAAATTCCCCAATGGAACTATTCCATTCACAAAGAAAAATTTTTAAAGAAGATTATTTGTAACATAACTTGATATTTCCTATTTGGTTATACACACAGAAAATATGTCCATAAGCAGGGGCTTCAAAAGGCTTGCAAAACTGAACACTTAAGAATCCATTTCCCACGAACCTTCTGAAGGCCTTGCATACAGCATTTTTGAGGCACTTGCAGTAATTTTACTAAACATGAGATCTGTGGAATTGTGAAATATGTAAGTCCGAGTTATGAGTCTCTTCATGACAGGGAATATAAATGTGCTGCTCATCTCTTCTGTAACTGTGTAAACATCACGGAGTACACTCACAGACCAAAATGGCTCCAAAATCCCAGCTCTTACAGTACCACAGGTGTAGTTTGTTGATAGAACTACACAGTGCGTCACTGTACTGTTTTGGAATACTTCCTAGAACCACTGGAATCTCTGGAGTCAGAAAACTTCTGGTTTGCTAATAAGACCCTGAGAGGGCTGGAGGCCCTAGAATGGCTGAGGGCTAGTAGTCAATGCGCCTACAGAGCCGGATCTTTCAGTTCTACACCACCCCTCAGCCCCACTGGAAGATTCAGTTGACCATGAGCTGTCAATGATGTGATCAATCATGCAAATGCCATGAAGCTTCTAAAACACACACACAGTCACACTCAAACACATGCACACACATATACACATGTGCACATATACACACATATGTGCAAACATGCACATACACACAAGGACACACAAACACATATACACACATGCACACAATACACGCATCTATACACACATGCACAGATGGACACACACATACACACAGACAGGGTTTGGAAGAGATTACAGATAGCTGAACAGGTGGAGGTTCCCAGAACATGACATACCCCTTCCCACAAACCTGGTTCTGTGCAACTTTCCCATCTAACTAGTTAATGAACCACTGTTTCCCAAGTTCTGCAAGTTGTTTTAGTAAGCTAGGTGGACCCAAGGGAAATGTTCAGGGAACTTAATTTAAAACTGGTCAAACACACAGGTGGAAAGATCTGAGGCATGGGACCAGAGCTGTGGATACAGTGAGTTAAGCTGCCACCTGCAATGCTGGCATCTCATAATGAAGCATCAGTTCAAGTTCTGGTTGTGTTTTTTCTGATCCAGCTCCCCACTAATACATCTGAAAAGGCAGTGGAAAATGTCCCAAATGCTTGGGCACCTGCCACCCACATGGGAGACCATTCCTGTCTGGCTCTTTACCTTAAACATCAACAGTTACTACAATCAGAGTCATCACCTCCATAAAGTTTTAGTTCGACAAATTCATGCTTAGTTTTTTACAATATGAGATTAGATAGCCTTGAAAATAATCACTTCCTATTACCCATCCACTGTAAAATACAGTTCCTTATGCAAATAATTTATAAACCTACAAATGGAAATACTAACCTTCATTTAAAATCACACCATTCAAATAATTATAACCAGATTATTAGACCTGAACATGGGAGATGAATTTAATGTCTGTTTTAAGAATCCTGGAAATATTAATTCAAATATTAAAAAATTAGTGCCAATATAGTCAGTAAGATCATTTCCTGGAGAAAATAATCCAGAAGGAGGTAAGATGGGAAATCCTACTCTACAAATAGAAAAAAATATATTCTTAGTCCCAGTCAGCCCAATCTACTCCTTCATTTATTCAAACATCTACTGAGCATCTAGCGGAGATTACAGTAACAAGACAGACAGTCCCTGGATCTTTTGAACTGGCATGTGATTTCTGAAAAGACACTGGAGCACTCTTTACTTCCCTTTGTGTAAATGTGGACAGTATTGTCTGTCCTCATTTCACAGATGAAGCTCCAATGCAGGAAAGCACCATGCATTTTCAGTGACATAAATCACAGGGAGGGTTTTGTTTGCTGGTGGAAGTTTCGTTTCCATGACGTGAAATGTAACAGATCCAGTACTCTACGAAAATGCCTGGGCGAGAAATGCTTCAGGTACTTTCAGATTTTGAAATGTTTGTAAACACATGAGATAGCTTGAGGATGAGACCAAATTCTAAACACAAAATGCATTTGGACTCCAGACAACATCTTACACACAGCCAGAGGATCGTTCAATACTTTGGTACATCTATATTCTAACTATGTCCCACTACACTTACAGGATCACAAACAGCTTGGGATTTGGGGCATTTGGATTTCAGATTTTCAGGTTAGAGATATTCAATCTTCACTGGCCTCTTGACAAGACAATGAAGAAACCTATCATTTCACATACGCTCAACATTTAGTCTACCGCTTTAGACATGTGCTCATGCCAGAAAAATCCAAGACACCCTGTAAAGTTGATCAAGGACATGTCTCCAGACAGTAGGACTCATGACATAAACTAGGATTCCTAAATGTGTGCTACAGGGGTGGGGCTTCTCTCTGTAACTCTGCCTTTAAAATAAATATTTTTTTTTTTACAAAAAACATTCTCAAAAAGATATAGTAAATAATAGTCAGTAAGACGGCCTCTGACTTCCTTTATGATACCAACCTACTGCAGCATGAAACTGAGATAAAGCGTCGGCCAGCTGCCCAGCTGCGAGTAATTTCTTGCCCAGTTCAAGATGCTTCTCAACATCTGCATTCACTCCACATTCAGCACCTAAAACAAATTTTAAAATAATCAGATATTGATAGTTAACTCTAAAATTCAAAAGCTAAGTACCCAGTTCAGTGGCTCAAGCAGCTACAAAGTAGGAAATTCAGATGGTGACACATGACTTAGAGAATAACAATAAAATATAATGTTTCATTTTATAGAAAACACAATATGCCCATACTGACCTGAACAGCCCAAAGAAAACAGTCTACAAAATGAGAGGTAAATTGTATAACATAGTACTGAACACACTTTGAATAAAATTAGAACAAATTTGCTACACCAGAAACTCATCTTAATAAACATTATATAATCTGATATACATTCAAGTTCTTATTGAGCACATATACCACCAGCCCTGTTCTAGATATGTGGGATGAGTGAACACAAAACAAAACCCATGCCTCTCCCTCACCTCCTGGTACCCGACAGCAAAGAGACATAATAAACAAGTAAATTACATAGCACATCAAGATAAAAATGTTGTGGGAAAAGTTCAATCATATGAAAGATTTAGGAGTATAGGGGAGTTTATGATGGCACAAAGGGTATTAAGAACATGCCTCTTGGTGAACTGACATCCAAACTAGACTTGAAAGCAAGGACCTATGCAGATCTCTATTCTTTAAAGGAGGCCTAGCTAGTGCAAGGGAATTCTTACCTGAAGTACACAGATGCATTCCAATAGCAGCAGGTAAGGTTACAACAGACAGCATGAGTGGTAGAGGGCTGAGGAAGTCCAGCCTTGAGTCTCACTTTGAGAAAACAGTGAACTGCTGAGGCATTTTGAGCAAAGTAACAATCTTATTGATGGGGCCAATTATCAACAAACTCTGAATTCAACTGTCAGTAGCTACATTATGATAATGAACTAGAGTTCTTAAGCAATTCTCCTTTGCAACGACCACCATGTTATGCTTTGTCAGTAAAAAGAATGTTAGAGGCCCAGAGCAGTAGTCTAGTAGACTTTAGCCAGGCAAAACACCAGTTCGTGCCCCGCTGCTCCACTTCCCATCCAGCTTCCTACTTGTGGCCTGGGAAAGCAGTAGAGGATGGCCCAAAGCCTTGGGAACCTGCACCCACATGGGAGACCTGGAGGAAACTCCTGGCTTCAGATCGACTCGGCAGCAGCCATTGCAGCCATTTGGGGAGTGAACCAGTAGATGAAGATCTCTTTTTTTTTCTTTCTCTCCTCCCTGTATATCTGACTTTCCAACAAAATTAATTAATCTTAAAGTAATAAATAAATTTTTAAAAGATAATGTTAGGTACACTGCAGGAAGTATATCTCCTGAGTCTAGGTATTACATTTCATTTTTTCTGGCTTTTTTTAAAGTTTATTTTTATTGTAAAGGTAGATTTACACAGATTTTAAAAGATTTAAGAAGTGAGCTGAATGCACTGGTTTACTCTCCAAAGGGCTGTAACGGCCAGAACTGAGTCGATCCAAAGCTGGAAACCTCTGCCAGTCTCTCACATGGGTACAGTGTCCCAAGACTTTGGATCATCCTCCACTGAATTCCTAAGTCATAAGCAGGAAGCTGGATGGGATGTGGAGCAGCTGGGACATGAACCGCACTCATAAGGGATATTGGTACTTGCAGGTAGAGGATTAGTCAATTGAAGCATCACGCTGTCCCCTCTTCTAGCTCTTAAGCATGGTCCATATTCATCTTCTGCAGTACGCAACATATGTGGAGGACACTGAGGGGTGCTGTATCCTAGCCACAGCCCATGCAGCACGTTTTAACAAGGATAATACACACTCCAAGCTTCATGCCTGAAGAAGCACCCCAAATTCCACCACATATGTCAATCAGCCTTGACAGGCCTATAGCTCAAAGTTGTTTTGTGTGTCCATCTTCCGTAGACAAGCTCATGGCCAGCAACCCAGAACACTTTTCCATTCCCAACCTACGGCTGCCACTCAACCTTCTACAAGATATGAATCCCAACTTTGACAAGGGAGTCACTCTCCCAGGTAATCCTTCCTTTGAGCCTTCTTTAAATCTTCCCTCTTCTATCATGACTTAACAATTCTTTACATTAAACTTTCCCCTTTTAAAATCCTACCTTGGATATCAGCATTCACATGAGTTACAATACCACTTAGGAAACCCACATCTTTTTTCTCAGTGCCTGGGTCCCTCTCCACTGTGAATTCCAGTTTCCCAAAGTTATGGACCCTAAAAGATAGCAGGTGATGGCTCAAGTAGTTGAGCCCCTGCCATGCACATGAGAGGCCTTCAGTGAGGCTCCAGGTTTAGGATGGCTCAGTGCCAGGTGTCACAGGCATTTGGGGAGTGAACCAATAGACGGAAGATACATTTCTATTTGTATCTCCATCTCTTTTAATGAAATTTTTTAAAAAGTAAATGTGTGGTTTCCATCTCCTAGGTGAACCTAGACTGAAACACAACTGGTGTTGGCAATAGAGTCTGAAGACAGATCTACACAGACGGAATGTGAGGATTAGGTTGGCCACACTCTTCAGCATGAGTCAGTGCTGAACTGATAAGAAGTAAGATGCTCATCATCCACAACTATTACTGGAATCACAACTAAGTTATCACTTGCGATGAAATGTAACAAAGTGCTAATTCAAGCACAAGGTTTGGAAACCTGAGTAAAAGCTGGAGTGGACCACATGGCAAACATGACTGAAGTGAGGACTGTGGAACCAGTGGGGATTCTTTTGAGTACACCAATAAATACTTGGAGAGAAAGTAACAAGCTCAAGTTACCCATCATCTCAATCCTGGAGCATTCCATGGCAATTCTACAATAATCTCCTTAAAACAGAAGCAGCTGATCTAGCTAAAAGTCAAGTTTGCTGAATTAAATTAATAGTTGAATTAATGGTCTCCAAGTTTTTCTTGTGACAAACAGGGCATGTATTAGTAAAGAATTGGATCCTTAAATTTCAAGTGAGAGGATGTGCTTCTACTCTGATGAAACTGATCTATTTGAAGCTCTAAGATTCTGAGACTCCCTTTCCAAAGACAGCTTGTGTCTGAGGAGGCCAGCCTTCCACTAGTTAGAAACCCTAGGACAAGGTTACCTGACGAAGTTGCCTCAAACCAAGATATACATGCTCCTCACATCACATTCCCAGCCACTAGTCCGTAATCATAGTCAAATCAACAGGGGATCAGAAAGACAGCATAGTCTAACAGGCTAAGTCGCTGCTAACAGGCTAAGTGCTATCAGCCCATACTGGTGCACTGCATCAAGTGCCAGCCACTTGGCTTCCAATCTGGCTTCCTATTAATGTGTCTAAGAAGGCAGCAAAAAAAAAAAAAAACCAGCCCAAGTACTTGAGCCCCTGCCACGCAGGTGAGAGACCAGGACAGAGTACCTCGCTTAGGGTTGGGCCAGACATCACTTAAGAAGTGAACTCCCCCTTTCCATCATATTGCCTTTTGAATACATATTATTTAAAATAAAAATCTCAGCAGGCTCCAAAAACATAGGTTTGCACCATTATCCAGAGAATCAAGCAGAAGAATTTTAGCGCCTTGCTGATGGACTAGAATCTGCGCACACCCACCAAGCAATGGACTTCAACAGTGTTAGACCAACAATATGGAATACAACACTACATCAGACAGAATTCACTGGTCTGTGTGTACTTAATGAAGTCAGTAAAATGGAGTTTTACTAGAACAAAGCCATTTTACTAATGCAGTGGATATATTGTCTTGGTTGCGCAGCTATGAGAAGGCCTACATGGCCTTCAAACCCTAAAAATGTATTATATGATTAACAAAGTTTGCCTGTTCATTTACTACAGATCGCTCTAATGTTTAATCACACAGCTGGAAGTGACTCTAACAACTTAGTTCCCTGAAACAAACTCAAAAATAACCTACACTTAATATGGCTCGTATTTGAGTTTCCTTAACATGTAAAGAGGGAAGGCTCCAAAGGCTTAGAGAAACAAATATTGGACTGAATTTACCATGTGTCGCCTCCATATGTCACACTTGCTACATGAGTCTGTAAGACGACACTCTTTAGTAAGGCATTAAGAGATAAATTAGGGAAAATCCACCTGCAACCTTCTCAAAGCTGAGAGGTGAATCCGCTTCCCAGAACAGCTATGACTATGGGTTTTGCCCCCACTGAGGTGGACCTCCTAACTTCAATGAGGATGATGGTACAAGCTTAAACACCAGCATTTAACCATCGCAGACTAGGTGGGAACATCTACTGTAAACATGTTCTATAAAGGAGACTCTTAATTATTATGTAGATCATATGAAATGCTCTAGAGATGCCTCTTTCCCCATCAAATCAGTCTTATGCAAGAGAACAACGAACACTGTAGTTAGCATGCAGGTTATGTGGATTCCATTGATTAGCGCTCACCAAAGTTGACCTGGGTAAGTTATTACTGATAATCTAGTCTACCAATAGCAGAAACCAACACTGAGTTCCATGATAATCATTCAGAAACAGCCAACTGGGGGCAAATTTTACTTAGTCTTCTAACTTAACAGATGACCTTCTCCTATTCTGGACATATTTCTATAGTGCTTCTGCTAGTACCTCCATTCACAGATAAACAGGATGCATTACGACTGTTACATCATTCCACGGTAAAACACATAAGCAACATGCTCCCAACCATGCCATCAGCTGGTGCTTCCACACACTTCATCACTCAGAAGCAGCTCAAGGCTAAACAATAGCACAAGTTAGTAGATGAAAGTGGGAAAGAACAGGAATCTATTTCAGAGGACACAGGTTAAACTAATTCCTCCTTATTCCAAAACTCAGTAATACTCTATCATTGTCACATTGAACAACCCCACTTTCAAGATTTTTCCTTCCACTCCAGCAATTTTGAGTCATGATGGTTTGGAAATTGTAGGTCTCAAAGAGGAAACACTTTCACAGGTGTTACAACAGTATCTCCAAGGATGGGAAGATGAGGCAGCACAGTGGCCACCAAGACTAGAACCGGCGCCCATGTGGGATTCTGGCGCAGCCAAGGCAAG